ATGAAAAAAGTCACATCAGTCATTTAGCAGTGGTCATATCTATAAAACAAAGGGAAAGTCAGTAGTCACTTACAAGTCTAAATTCAGCTGCAGCTGATCCAGAATGCTGCTGCCCATGTCCTCACTAAAACAGAAAATAATGTACATTACACCAGTTCTGAAGTCCCTACACTGACTGAGTGTACGGGAATGGTCAGAGAAATTCAGAGAGACAAAAGAGTGAAACAATAACGCACACTTATTACACCCTGGCTTCCTTCCATGTTGCTCTCCGTTGTTTACTGTCCTGTCACACTGGTGACATCATCAATACTAACCCAGCGTGATGGCGTCACTGGACACTCAGCGGTGTAGGGACAGAGGACGCGCAGCTTGCCAGTGGGGAGTCAGACCCAGCTTTTTTTGATAATGGGAGGGGAGCCAAGTGACGATCAGTGGGAAAGAGGACGTAGAGAAGCGGCTTTCTGGTTAAGAATTAATTTCTTTAAAGTTTCCTTTTGACTATTATAAAACTGTAAACCAAGACAATTTTAGTTTAGTTTTGTATTTCTAATATTCTCTGCCTTTATGTACTTTCTTCTATGTGTTTTTTTTTCTTAATTTTTGTTCATGTACAACACTTTGAATTGTCTTGTTACTGAAATATGTTGCATAAATTAACTTACCTTGCCTCAAATATGTTCAGCAGAGTAGAAACAACAAGTTGGAGACCTGTAAGTTCAATTGAAAGCAGTTATAAAGATCTGTATTAATTTTCCACTGAAACAGCATTTCAACCTACTGTAGAACGACTAACTCACAAAGAAAAACAGCAGCTAGAGAGATCTATTGATGAATCTAACAGTTCTTTGGCACTCGGACCCTGGTAGAAGACATGGAAGCTGCGAATGGCATCGAGCTTGGATAACCATTGTGTGACTAGGATTAGAGATTTCTGCCCCCGGCCTCCTGATGGAGTGGAGGCCAGAGGAGAAGAAAGATGGATGGATCTTGAGAGCATGATGGAGATGGGGTAGGGGTCAAAGCTCAGCTGAAAACCAGGTTGTTATAGAGCTTTAAGCAGAACCTAATGGGATGGTTACCTGAAAACGGACGAGGGAGTGCAATGATTGGCTGGTTTAGAGGCGCATGATAATATAATTGAATGCAGGTGCCACTTGGGTGAGTCTTCCACTTTGAATGTGTCTAAGCTCAATGTAAAATACCCAAATTGATTAAGATTTAATTTTAAACTTACTATTCAATTAAAAATCTCTTCAAAAGTGTTATATGTACATGGATTTAATGTATTTTGCATATAATTTATTGATGCTGCTTGATTTATGCAATGTGTAAGACAACACCAATCAGCCATTTAGATAATATTATATAAAACACACATGCACAGACACACTGAGGACAAATTCAAATGTTTTGGTTAGGTCTATGTTTTTTTAAGGTATTGCTTGATCAGAAGCCAGGTTATTTTAAGGCCTTCATGGTTAGTTTTCTTCAGATAAAATTATTCATTTATTTTTTTTATCAATATAAGCTAAGTTGATTATTTCCTTGAACCACTCAGTTTTGGAACCAGCCCTAAAGGTGTCAGCGAAGCTAAAAGGAAAAGCGGACTTACGTTTTCAGCATCACTGTGACATAATAACTTCATAGGTTTTGAAATGGGTTTAGTCCAGGTTTCAGTCTGGAAAAAAAACATGTTTGACTGGATAAACACTTTGAGACAGAGGTTTGAGTTTCTAAAAGGTTCCTAGCAAAGGACAATAAATGCTGAAATTAAACCAAAAGCTGCTTCAACAAAGTATTTCTTTAAGGGGGCAAACACTTTATTTTATAATCTTTTATCCTTCTAAATTTAGCCGTGGAATTGTCAATATATGCAGTTTTATTAGTAGGAAAGGTTTTTAAATGATTTGAATAACTGAGGAGTTCTTTTTAATAATAAAAAATAATAATATTCTTCCATTCGAAGAGGTACACACTTATAGCATTTGATTTAGAGTTCAATTCCTGCTCAGAGAATGTTTTTTTTTTTTTTTATAGATGACTGATCAAAACTGATGACTTAAGAATATCTTACTTAAATTGCTTGAGCCATCCACACATTCAGAGTGTTCAACAAAATTGAAAGTGAAAATAATCCAACCACCTCTTTAACATATATGCTTAGAATGTTGATGTTAACATGCATATTGGTGGTAAAGTAGCAGGAATGGCTTTATTTTATTACATACACCACACCAGCAGGGAAATACAGTAGAGAAATATGGAGAAACAAGCAGCTGTAAGAAAAGATGTCACAGGTTTGTCTCTGATTTCCCAGTTGTAAATCTTTTCTTCTGCACTCGCTGATATAATCCCATGCCCCAGAGGAAGACAAAAATACTGGCAGACAAAGACGTATGATACCTTTACAAGTGCAGGCAGTGATACGTAGGTTTTAACACTCATTTCCAACCATGTGTTTGGTAATGGATTTTAGCCTCATTGTATGCTTTTGAAAAACAGCGGCTTGTGTTATATTTGTGATGTTTTTTTCTGCGTGAATGTCAGCCTGCAAAAACACCTATACAGAATCAGTCACTTAGAGACTTACAAACTGAGGGCAGCAGCAACCCTCCTCCTATGTTACAGTAAATTATTGTTAGGCATCTTTTACAAAAAAACAAAAACAAGGTCAAGACTATTTGTAAAACAATGAAAAACGTAGAATATGTTAAAGATAAGGTGCAATTAAAGATAAATACATCAGCATAAACCTGAGACAAAAAAAGCAGTAAGAGGAAACACCCACAACTCTGCACCATTGAGCGCCCTCCATGTTTACCAAAGAACTGACATTCAGACTGAGAGAGGCAGTCATACCTCGCTCATATCCCTTCCAGGCTGAATCAACTATACTACTGATTAAACCAGCAGCTTGTCCTGCTTTTTCATACTCTGGCCCAACCAGACGGCATAGCAAACGGTCCCTTTAAGCTGGAAGGACCTCAGCACACAGGGTTGCATTTAGATCTTCTCGGAAAGATTACACAAAAAAATGATGTCATCTTATTTTATGAGTAAATTATCAGTTATACAGACAGTATGAATAAAAATCTGCTAATAACACAAGACTGATTATAAATAAGCAGGATATGATTATAATATTATCATATTACTGACTCACAATCCAAAATTATCAAAAGATAATTAGCAAAGCTGTTGAAGAATAAAATGACACCCTATAACATGAATATTTTTCTAAATAGAATAGAATAAAATAAAGCAGGAAAAGATTGGCCATCTTTGATGCATAAAAGCCAATAACCTTTCTGTATTTCCTGCTCATTCAAACCAATCTCCATCAAAGATGGAGCATGTATTTGTTTTGTTTTCATTTTTTAGAATATAGTCTTTGGATAACATTTTAAGATCAGCAGGTCTCACAATAGTGGTCAGGAAAGCTTGATTGGTGCATCTATATCTTGTAAAAAATAGAAACAAGGTTTCCCTCAATCTGCATATTCTGCTCTATAAAACCAGACATACTGTGTCATGCATGTCATGCAAAGCTCATATATGCTCACACATTAACACACTGGCAGCAGACAGACAGGCATGCTTGTCAGCAGTGCTGGAGGGCCCTTGGCAGACTGCTGCTGCAGATGCCCATCCCCCTCCGCCCAATAAGACCCTGTCTGGGAGAGGGGGAAGGGGAGACAGAACTGTCTAGACCCCAGCATGGCAAGCTTTGATGACACAGAATAGAATTTCTCCTGCTTAAGCAATTAGAAATAAACCTGATCTAATTTGCTACGTGGTGAATTTCAAAGGTGGAATTACGTCTTTCAGCCCAAACATTTTAATAAGCATTTTTATTATGACTCCAAATTTTTCTCATGTATTTTTTAGCCTTTAGAAAATATATATTGAAATTATTGAGACACTTTTAATGGACTGCTACTTCACACACTGTGAAAATCTAAGAAATTAAGTACTTTATACAGTCATGTGGTGTTGGGAAGGGAAACAACAAACATATTCTCTTCAAAACATGTGACACCAGCCCATTTTCTGCTTTTACACAGTAGCACCACAGTTTCCTGCATCACTGTACATAATTTGCAACGCCTTGAGCTGCAGATCAATTTTACATGTTTAGAATTTTACTTCATTGATGTCAAAAATAAGTGTCGCACATTTTATTGAACCAGATAGTTGTTTATTTCTTTTTTTCTTTGTAAAACCCCTAAGCTGAGTTACGTTGTGCTGTGATGTAATCACTGGCATGGGAGATGTAGGTCTGCGATCAGCATGCCGTACCATCGCATGACACAATCCTTTTTAGACACTTTAAATGATAACTTTCAGATGTAAAGCATTTAAAGACCTGTATTCTGTTGTATGTGCTAATTTAGCATATGAAAGGCTTTTTTTATCTACATGTTTGGCACCAATAAAAACAGCAACCTTTGGAGATTATTACATGAACTGATTCCATGTGTGGGGAATTGGTGTGTAGTTGAGTTTTACCCACAAAAACTGTAAACTTGTCATGAATCTTAATAAGTATCAAGTATTTATTAAAATAATATGTTTATGCTCTTCTTTTGCTCTTAATTCAGTCTATTTCCCCTCAGAGTTGATGTTATGAGTGACATTTTGTTTTGGAGCATACCCCCAAAACAAACAGAAATGGCTTTTTTAAAGCAGTTTTCAATCATTGCTTGGATAATTTCTTATTGGCAGTTTAAAGCACTTAAGCCTAATCCAAACACTGAGCCTTACTATCAGCTGTCTTTGTTTACCCAGCAAAATTAAAAGATAAAATATCTGCCAAAAAAGCATGCTGCCGTTTAAAGATGTTTGCATTTGAAATTGCTCTTTTTGGAGTTTTGTAAACGAGTGTCAAAATGCATAAAACTAAAATGTTGGTGCCTTATGCACGTAACAGTTGAACTACTTTGTGCTGCAATTGGCAATAAAAATGCACACAACAGAAAACAAAAAGAGCTCAGGAGTTTCAGTTCCAGCTGATATTTATTTCCTTCCTTGAAAAAGTTCTGTACACAAGTTTGTATCAACAATCTGACAGGCAGTGAATGGACAAAATTTAGCTGGCATGAGTCAACCTACCCCCCTTTTTTTTTAAATCAGAAAAAAAGGGGTGGCTTCTTTGTTTATGGCATGATTAAAGACAATAAATGATAAATCTACACAGCATATTGCACAGGATGGATGAAAAATAAAGTTAATATATTTAAAAATGTTTTCATATATTTATATATTTATAAAAAAAACGAAACAAAAAAAAAACAGTCTGAACTGACCACCTTAAATGTAAGTAAGGATGTGTAAAAGATAGCAGTTCTAAACAGTGCCTGTCCTCGATAGCAACGACGTACATAAACACACAATCTTTTTGCTTTATGGTACAGTCAAATATACAAAGATCAAGTTCATTGTTTTTTCCTCTTTTTCTCCTCAACGTTCTTTTTTTCTGAAAAAACACAACAGCTAATAATAACCTGAATCGGAAATACAAATGCTATTCACCATGCCATAAAGATACTAAAACAATTATTAGCTAGTAGTTAGCTGACAAGTAGAAAAGATTATATATTCAAATACAATGAGAAACGCAGTACGAGAAAGTGTTGCGCAACTCAGTTCGGAAATTTGAATATGCTTGATGTTGTCATCTTTGTTTTCTTGTAATATGGGGCAGCCCGCCTCAATCCAATGGTCGATTGGCAAGATGTGACATCAGTGAGAGAAAACATCAAGAAACAGAGTCAAATTTAAAGCTACAATCTTCAAGATGTTGGACACAAGATGAAAAAATAAAATAATAACATTTAAAAAAAAACAAGTGGCTGCTTTTTATGATGCTGCTATTGTTTAAACCACATGGTCCCACAGGAAGAGGCTCTAAAAAACATACTCCTGCGTCTTTAAAATAAAAAAGGGGGGAAAAAAGGGCCTGCAGTCTGATACTGTAAACGTTGGAAAAGGGGGTTGAGACTGGTGCTGCTTTCAAGTGCTGTCTGAAAAATCTCAATTATGTTCTAATCACTTAAAGTGTGTCACGTCTGTGCTGCAGATGTTTAAGAGTTTGACATCAAAGAAGACTTAGGAGTGCTCTTGGTTTTTGGTGTGTGTATGTGTGTGTGAAATAAGGGATAAATAAGGCCAGGCCACCTGATTTACATTAATATATATGTTCTGTCAAAAAGTGTCAGGGTGCCTTTCATTTTAGAAGAATAAGCAAAAAATAGGCACCAGTGTTATAAAAGAGTTAGCTCTAATGCTTGATCTAACCTACTAAAGCAAGAGCCTTAAGTAACGAGCTTACCATAAGCACTTGAAGGCAGCATAAAAAAACCAGCCTTGTGAGGGCATTAAAAAAAACAAGGAAATCCAATACAGCTGTGTTAGTTAGGCTACAGACACCCCCGTGTTCAATATAGATTTGTACAAAAATACACTGAGAAAATAATCAACCTGTTTCCTCTCTTTTAAGTGTCCAAAAATGTGTACATTTAAATATAAAAATGGAACTTAAAAAGTTGTGTGTTCTTTAAAACTCTAGCCCTTCGCCTGAGAAGGAAATGTGACAGACATAGACACTGACAGGATCATGTGTACAAGAAATAACAAAATGAAAGATGCTTGGCCCAGTATATAAATACAACCCCCCCTCCCCATATAAAAATGGCATCTGAATACATGTACAAAAAAAAGAAAGATGGTTTCTCTATAGCTATAATCTGGAAATTAACATTATAGAATTTTGGTCCTGATACATATAGAGAAAAAAAACAGACTTGAAGTTGTGTTTGTGTCCTGAAGTGAGCTGGTGATTATATCAGTTTTTTATATATATATATAAAAAAGTAGAACCAAAGCGAGCGCCACCTAGATCCTGTTAAATACCCCTAATACTAGTTAACAAACTGCTTGAACAGTCGCACAGAAAATCTCAGGACAAGATATAGGAACAAAGTAGGCTATCATGCTTAACACGTTTTTTGTTGTTGTTTGTTTCTTGAGAAAATACATAAAAAAAAAAAAAAAAACATCAACCCACCTCGGTTTCATTTTTAAAAAAGCCTCTTGGTGATACAATAAAAAACTGTCGCGCGGCAGTCCTAGTCTGTACCTTTTGTTTGTTTATTTTATTTTTTTAGTGGTGAAATTCACTTGGCGATTGGTTTTAAAAAGTTGTGAAAATGTCCCTTTTTTTCTCTCCACCTTCTCAAAAATTCATCGACATTGATTAGGTTACGGCGGACCGCAAAACGTGCAAATCAATCACAGTTAAGTTATTCAGTTCAAAACAGTCCAGGACTGAGCTGCCAGGAAAACTCTTGTTTCGGCAAAAACTCCCCCAGTCCAGGCATCCGAAGTGAAGTCCAGAAAGAAAAGGCAAAGTATTCACTTCAGAGGGAAGTTTTCCAGGGTAGTGAAAGCGAGCAATAAGCCGGAGCTCCTCTGCCTCTGCTCAGTATGTGAACACCAGGTTGGAGATGGTGGACTCCAGCCAGTCTCCAGAGATCATCTCGCTGACTTCGGGCGTGCAGTAATCGGGGAACTCGAAGTGGGACCCCCCGCAGGCGGACTCGCCGTTCCCATCTAAGTCCCTGTCCAGCACCGAGGAGCCGAAGCTCCCCAGCGACATGCTGTCGAAGCTCGGGCTCGGGTTGACGTCCAGCAGCTCGTCCTCGAACTCCTCGTCCTCTGAAGAAGACGAGGAGGAGGAGACGGAGGACTGGGAGCCGGAGGGTGTCGGAGAGGAAGCCCGTCGGCTTCTGCTGTATGTGCGCGCGCTGCGGCGCTCCGAAGCTCCGCCGTAGCTGCTGCTGCCGCCGGGGGAGTCGGCTCCTTCTCTGCCGCCGTCCTCGTAGAGGCTGAGCGGGTCGCTGGAGTCCGCCGAGCTGCTGAGCGTCGGGCTGGCGGGAACCACCACGGAGGACGTGGGGCTGACGCTCAAACTCGCCGCGCCGTTTCCGAAAACGTAAACCCTCTTGGGCTTCTTGGCGTCTGGGATCTGCTTAGCTGCCGAGGAGACCGACTTGGACTTGTAGAGGGAGTTATGGAGGAGCTCCGCCGGCTGCTCAGAGGCAAAGAGTGAAGCTTTGGTGCTACTGCTGCTCCCGGAAAGTGTTTTTTGGGGTTTGTTGCTGCTGCTCGGTGATTTGGATCCGCTCTTCCTCGCAGAAGAAGACGTCTTAGTGCTGGTGATGTTAGAGCTACTGGGAACTTTTTCTCCTCTCTCGCTGCCAGGCTTAGATGCGCTCGACTTGACCTTCTTTCTCGGCCGGTATTTGTAGTCGGGATAGTCCGCCATGTGCTTGAGTCGGAGCCGCTCTGCCTCCCTGATGAAGGGGATCTTGTCGCTGTCTCTCAGCAACTTCCAGCGCTTCCCCAGCCGCTTGGAGATCTCTGCGTTGTGCATGTCCGGGGACTGCTCCATGATCTTTCTCCTCTCTATCTGCGACCACACCATGAAGGCATTCATGGGTCTCTTGATGTGACCGCTGGGAGTTTTGCACCACGCCGGGTTGTCTCCCAGCTTCTCGCCGGCAGTGGAGGAGGCTGCGGAGCCCGTCGGGGAGAGAGGAGAGACGGCCGGGTCGAGCTCCATGCACGCCCCGGAGTCGGAGCCTGAGTCCCCGCTAAAGAAGGACAGTGCCTCAGCGGTGCTTTCACCGTGGCTCATTTTCTGCACCATGCTGTCCGGTTTAAAGGGAGAGCGGGGATGCTTGCTCTTTCTCCCCCTCTCTCCTCTGGGTTCCTCTGGTTCACTTAAAAGCAAACTCAGCTCTTTTCTCCCACTCTGACAGTTTGAGCTGAGTGCAAACACTGCACAGTTATTCACTCCTGAGATGCGCAGGATAGTTGAAAACAGAGTCCAGAATTGCCTAAAAAGGCTACATACATAAGAAAAAGTTTAATTTCCAGTTTCTGATGGTGTTTTAAAAAAATCCACACAGTCTTTGTGATCACTGAACACAGTCTATAGATGCAGAGTGCCCACACATGCACTCAGTCACTTACAAAGGGCTCCCAAGTATATAATGTGTAAAAGTCAGTGCTTTTTCTCTGCATCTACTCCAAGAGTCAAAAACCTTGCATGCTGCGATAGGGGAAAGAAGCAGGGTTTAAAATAAAAAATAAAAGCTAGAGCAACTCACACTCCCCTGCCTCCCATCTGCAAAGACTAACAGTCGCTGTTTCAAGCACCCCTTCAGACTACTGCCCCCCTTTGCCTGCATTTATTCCTCTCTGATACAACAGCGATAAAAATCCACCAATCAGACCTTGTCACTACGCTGCTGAACAGAGGCCACGCCCCCAGCCGCACCTGATTGGCTCCAAAAGGAGTCTAATAATAATCAGCGCGTGCAATGAGAAGCCTCGTGTCTGACCTCATTCCAGAATACAAGAAACTTGAATTTTTTTTCTTCCTTTTTATAATGTTATGAACCCCCTTTTCCACTAGCATGTGTCTATCATTAACATATAGAAGCTCTGCTATATGGGAAATCAATTATCCTTTTGCTCTGTTAAAAGCAGCATTTATTTTTCACGTATAAATACAGGAAGGTGGTAAATAGAGATGTCATATACCGGTAGCCTAATAATGACTAAAACCTAAAGAGCGTTAAAAGCAACCAAATCCTACTGATAAAGTAAATATATGGCGTCATTGTTATTATTGCTGCTGTTTGTTGATGATCAACTATTATAATTATTGTCACCTGCAGGTGCGCATAACTAATCCACATACTGTAAACAAGACAGAGCTCAACAGTTGAGTTTCTCTTGCCCATTGGCACACAAACAGGAAAATGTCTTCATGATCGTCAGGCTGCTTTTAAAGAAGTCTGCAAGCTTACATGCCTAAAGGGTTTGAAGCCCTCCCCTCTCTCTTTCCTTCCAAGGCGGGACTGGGCGGGCTTTTTTTTCTGTCACATAACCAGCCCCTCTCCAGCAAACCACATCAGACCAAATAGACAGAGCAGAAGAAAAAAGGGTAGAGAGGGGAACCAGGCTGCACAACATCCGCACAGCTCGAAACTGCTAGAGGAGATCACTTTCCCGTGAAGAGATAAAAACAAGAGCAGGTGTGGGAAGGCGCTCTTATGCGCAGAAGAAATTGCGCACAAGTTGCCACACAGCTGAGTTTGAAGTTGTGTACAAAGTTTCAAAAAATTTTATTAAACCTGGTGGTTTATGAAGCTGTAAAGTCTGGGTCAACAATCAGTTTATCAGGTTATAGGTTTCATTTAAACAGTAATAATAAAATGTTTTACTATAATCTGCCTTTTGAAGCAATATCCCACCTTAATATAAGGAATAATTTAAAAGAAACACATGTTTTTTCCCAATAAAATAGTAGTTATAATCCTCATATTTATTTCATAATTCGTTGCTCTGCAAAGAAATGAAATGAAAGAGCATTGTGCACATTGCTTTGCAGAAATTCCGCTAGATGGCGTCGCAGAGCCAAAAAGCGCTCACCATTCATGGCTTTGCTGCGGAGTTTAGTGGAGGGTAAAAAAAAAGAGATCAAGCCAGGGCAACGAGAACAGTTAGCAGGGGTGAGTTACATAATGCCTCTGTACAACAGAGCAGCATCCAAGCAAAACTGCTGGGCAGGAAAAGAGGTTAGTTGCTCCAAGCTAAGGTGGGGATGTAACAAGTGAAATTAACTTCAAAATGACAGCAGTTTTCTTCTAGTCTAATCAGCTTTTGATTCTAAACACTCACTTTTAATGATTTCTGGAGACGGACTACCACATACGTCTCTGCTTTGAAGAACAACTGATGTAAGTTAGAAATAAAGATATGATTAACCCATAAAATAGAAAGACAAAAGCGATGGTAAGATTTCCTGTTTATTAGTAAAAAGTAAGGCACAGCTGACTTGAACCCCAACTGGGAAGTCAGTAAGAAAAAATAACAATATACTGGATGCATTTCACTGGATGCAATTATGCTCAATATGGCCTCATATCTGCAGTGCATCCAAGGAAAACGACGGGTAATTGGGCTCCAATTTGTGTGTTCATGGAGCAGAACTGCAATGGAAATAAGAACGTTAACTTGCAATCTTGCACTGCTGTGCAATGCCAATTAAATAAGGAAATGCAGGAAATCATTTCATATAAGTGAGTCCTATAGAAGTGGAGGGGCTGAAGAAGGGGTGCTTTACATACAAATTTCCATTGAACTTGTAGAAAAAGAAAACATAGTTTAGTGGTAATGTGTTCTGGTGAAGTAACATGATAATGCCCGTAATCTTAAACAGTTTGTTTGTTTTTTTATGTCACTCCATGGAAATGATATTATTTAACAGACTTCTTGCAGTAGATGACATGTACCTTTTGATCTGGAATCATAATGTGTAGTGCTTGATATCATAATACTTTATTTGCAGCAAAACTGTGGATTTTTTATGGCGAAAATGGAGGCAGGTTGTGGTATATCACACACTTTTCTTTGTTAAACATGGAAAGAGAACAGAAAAGATGGAGATTCCATACAGAGTAATTACATAATAGAAAGGTAAGGCAGGGTAAAATTGTTTTTAAAAATTGCCCCTTAAAACTATAATAAGATTGTTGCTTTAGTTTCTGCTTTACTTAGTATTTTTGAAAAGTACTTCACTGAATAAAGCGATAATTAAATTGATTTTAAAAATCTAGCTGTTTTTAGATAGTTGAGGTTCACTATCGTGTTTTTTTCTTTTTCAATAATGCTCACAACTAGTTATACACAGTGCCTTTCTGAATTCTCTTCAGTTATGTCATCTTAAAAACCACAAAAGTTCGAATGGATTTTATTGGGTGTTAACATAATACACCAACATAATGTAGTGTATAGTTGCAGTGGTGTAGTTGCAGGGGGAGGCCATTGTTTTGTCATAATATCACAGAACATAGGAATGCAACATAATTTTAAAAAGGAAATAATTTATTTATTTATTTAAAGTAATCCACACATTAAAAAAAAACACTTGTGGTTCTAGAACTGCAGGTTACAGAAACCTGATCTAGCAGATGAAATCTGTGATCCTGTCTCAATAAAGAGCAAAAATTGAACTTGAATTATTAAAGCAAAACTGGATACGTAACAAATACAATTAGTTGTAATGGACCAATAAGTTACAGCGTCTGTGCCAGAGCATATTATAAGAAATTGAATCGTTATTATGTCTTCGTTACAGGGGTCAAGGCTAATTTTATAGGGTCACTGGCCTTCGTTTAAAACCGCCCATGCATATTTGTAAAGTTGAAGAAAGAGGTTACATAGTTTTTTGGGGGTTTCAGGGTTATACAAAAAACTACAGATAAGAGTCTGAAAAGTGTGGTGTACTTTTGTATTCAGGTCAAAATATGCTACCCTCATAAATTGCTATTACAGCTGAAACTCTTTAGTGGTTCTACCTTTAAACATTAAATGCTTTACACTTTTGTTCAATCAGTCAGACTGAATAGTTTGTTTTCAGTTTTTAAAATGTTGGACTGTACAAGATGGACAATCTTTCCAAAACTTACTCTTAGACTACTTCTGTTGAACTCATGTAAACCTGCAGCACCCAACTGGACAGCTGGTAGGCCTTTTAGGTCATATTCTATTTTATCCTATTCTATTCTAAATCCCAAATAAATAGGACCTTTCACCTAGTTTTGGCTTCACAGTTTGTCTCTTGGCAGACTTCTCTGTCTCTTTTGCTCTCTCTGCAGCTCTCCCTCCCTCTCCTCATCTCTTTCTATTTTTCTGTGTACACTTTAGAATGAGTCACACACACACCTAGTTACGCAAATACATACACACAAGCACACACACACACGCATGCGGGCTGAAAGGATAAGCAGAGCATTCAAACTTTCCCCCTCTCTTTCTCCGTCTCATTCTTTTACCGCCATTGTTTCCGTGAGGTACAGCTGCCACGCGAGCTGGAGTGGGTCGCGTGCCAACCCTAATCTCAACAGGTGTTCTTTTTGTGCCCCCCAACCCCCCTGCCCCCTCCTGCCAGCCTCAAACTTTCTTTATATTTGTTCCTTATCTTGCTCTTTCTCACAGCTTCCCTGAGCCTTTCCCCTGACTTGTTATTAGATTCAAAATATAACTCATCATGTAGGTATAAAATTGAATCAGACGTAATAAAGAATTAAAAGAAGATATGAAATTTGAGTTGTGCGTCAGGCTGTGAATATACTGTAGCTTTATTTTAATGCATCTTTGGAATAAAATTATATGAAACGATCATATGGGATCTTGTTAAAGCAAGAACCAGCTGAAAAATGTTTCATATTTTATTCATGTCTTCCACCTTCAGACTTGACCACTCTTCACTACTATGTTTAAATTTGCCAAAGTTGACCAAAGTGAAATGAGCCGTATGGGCAAACAATAATGCATCATGAAAGTATAGCAAAATCTTAATATATCACTCTAAAAAGATTTCCTATGGACTGGAGGGCTGCAAAAAGTCTCTATACAACTCTGCTCAGTTTAGACCAGTTTGCTTTATTGGCATCAATGCTAGATGAGGAATGCTGCCAAATCACCCCCATCTCCCTTTTCTTTTCTCTCCCCCTTCTTGCACCGCAGATAAATCCGATCTGAGGTCATCTGTTATTCAGAACACTGACACCATATGGTGCGCCACCCACTCGGAGTACATCTAGTCGGTTTCATGAAAACTTAAATTCTTCCCATATTTAAATATTAATGAAGGTGTGTACTGACCAGCTGTCACAAACACTACTTAGAGTTTAGCCGATTCGAACTTTGAATCTTTAGCAGTGGTACATTCATTATAAACGTGCTGATCTTTCATAACGGATCGAAGCGGCTTGCTGGATGAAGTTTTACTAAACAAAGGGTTAAATCCTGACATGTTTACACTATGCAGTTGGCTGCAAGGGAAGAAAAATATTTTAAATAAGGTCCATGAAAGTTAACAAAAAAATAAATAAATCAGGCTTGAAACTAAAGCCTGTAGTGATATAAACAGTTAAGATCATTTCCAACCATTTGCTCATCCGAGGCAACGGTTGACCTTTATTGCAATTAAAATGCAATGCTTAAGGCCAGACTCTTCTTCTGTAAAGTGGAGGTATTATGAACGCAGACCAGGAACTATTGGGAATACACTGCCTTTAAATTGCAATTTAAAGAGGTGAGAAACATTTCAGTTGTTTATGAAGCTTTTATATGTTTAGTGAAATTGAAAAAAGTTACCATCTGC